AGATTAGGGTTCTCCAGGTTTGAGGACCTTATAACAGGTCTGTTATCTTTAGAAGAAACTTCACCGRATAGTGATGACATCCTAACTTCGGTCAAGGAGTTGTTCACAGTACTGTTGGGTGGTTCTGGTTAGGGCTGGCCGAAGTAGTCACAGAGTTCACAATGCTGGTAGCACACCAGATAGGCTTCACTTGGACTAAACCAGTTCGGGTACAGCAGCAAGGAAAAGTCTGTAACTGAACCAGTTCACAGAGCTGGAGTAGGGCTGGTAACCGACCTGGAAATGATCTGTAACTGAAGTCGCCACAATTCTGTAAAGGTCTTGCTGATGCACCGAAGCTACAACTGTAGAGGAGGCTATGCCTTTACCACTGTTCTACGCAAGTCTTGCTGGAGCACCAAAGCTTTAGTTGTAGAGGAAGCACTTCCCCTTTCGGCTAGTGCTAGGACTGCTGGAATCAGTCCTCAACTAGGTCTGTCTTGTACAGACCTCTCTTAGTAGCCAAATAGCTACTACTTGCTAGAAAAAAAACCTAGTAGGACATCTACTTCTGGGTCTTACTTCCCTTGAGTCCTACAACCAAGAGAAACCCTAGGTTCGAACTTGTTGAGTTCCCTTACACTCCTAGGTCTTCGCTGCAGCAACCCAGAAAAAGAAAAAGAGAAGATGAAAAGGCAGCAAGAGAAGAGAGTGCACCGGCTGAAACCAGGAAGGAGCTAATGCTCTGGTACCATGTAAACTGAGAAGCTAAACTCGAAGTAGCAAAGAAGAGAATGAAACTTCTAAGATGCAGAGAATGTCGAACTGTACTTGCAGTCGACCATGCCTTTATTTATATATAAGTGAAGTACAAAGTACAAGAAATTACTGGGATACCCCTGATTAGTGATGGGACACCCAGAAGACTTAAGACATAAACAAGATTAGGCCCATTASCAAAGGCMCAGTTACAAGATAAGTTTAACATAAGAATGGGCTAATAGAAATTCTTATCAGCCGAACACACTCAAGCATTCTAACAATTGGAATGATGAAACTCAGAAGTTGAAGAATTTTCTTGCTACCCAATTTGAAGTGAAGGATCTATGTCCTCTAAGGTACTTCCTTGGGATTGAAGTGGCCAACTCACAAAGGGGTATCTTCATTTCCCAAATAAAGTATGTCCTAGATCTACTCTTGGATACAGAAAAATTGGGAGTGAAGCCAGTTGATTCCCCTATTGATCCTAACCACAAACTAGGTGACTATCAAGGTGAACCCATTAAGGATGCGAAATAGTTCCAGAGACTTGTAGGAAGATTGTTATATCTTTCTATGACTCGACCAAACATAGCTTATGCAATGGGTGTTCTTAGCCAATTCATGCATGTCCCTAAGACTACCCATCTTGAAGCAACAAAAAGAGTTCTCAGATATCTTAAGAAGTTCCCAGGTGCAGGCTTGTTGTTTCAAAAGCATGGACATTTGAAAGTTGAAGTGTATACTGATGCAGATTGGGCAGGATCCCTAAATGACAGAAAGTCAACTAGTGGCTACTATACCTTTATAGGAGGTAATCTAGTTACCTGGAGAAGCAAAAAGCAGAATGTGGTAGCTAGATCTAGTGCTGAAGCTGGGATATCCAGCAATGTCTCATAGAGTGGCTGAAATTATGTGGCTAAAAAATTTGTTGAGTGAGTTGGGTTTTCCAGTTGACAGACCTATGACCCTATTCTGTGATAACAAAGCAGCCATAAACATTGCTGCTAATCAAGTGCTGCATGATAGAACTAAACACATCGAAGTCGACAAACACTTTATCAGAGAAAAGGTCGTCACAGGGGAAGTGTGTACTCCTTATGTTAGCTCTGAAGATCAACTTGTAGACATCTTTACAAAAGAGTTACACCATCAAGTTGGGCATGATTGACATCTATGTCCCAACTTGAGGGGGAGTGTTAAAAGGCTGTTATTTCTCTTAGTATAGTACCGCAGGGGTACTATTGTAATTTTCTCCTTTTATTTTTTATATTCTGTCGCCCTAGTATATATACCAAAAGCTGGCGCCGCCAGCAGCACTTTTTGGCTCTCAGTTCTCTCTTCTCTCTTCCTCTCTTCTTCTCTCCTGCATAACATGCACCAACGCCCAACCTGAAGAAGCCTTTCAAATAGCTACCACTAGTCTTTTTAAACTCCAGCATTTGTCTTCAAAACACCTCCTATTCCTTTCCTTCCGTATGCACCAGAAAACCACAAAAGGAATACAAATCCATAGCATTTTAGCCTTCTTACTACCTCTGATCCTCAGCCATATAGAGAAAACCTGTGCAGGGGAGTCAGGCTGAAGATACCTTACCCCAAACAAGGCTGAGAACAACTTCCAAATGAAGGCATTCACCTTGCACAATATGAACAAGTGACTCACAGATTCCTCTTGCTCTCTGCTTAAGTAGCATACTGGCTAGACTGAACCCTCTACTCTTGAGATGATCTGCAGTTAGCACACTATCCATAGAGATGAGCCAAGCTACAGCTTCCACCCTAGTGGACACAGGATTGCCCCAAATGCCCACCACCTGATCAAACTCCAAATGGTTCCTGCACAAGGCTGATTAGCAAGATTTAACTGTAAATTTACTATTGGAGCACTCCTTCCACCATAGATCATCTCTCAAGTGATCTGAAGCCTTTACCCTCTCCAGCTTTTCCAGCAAGTTAATACATTATTCCTCCTCTCCTTCAAGTAAATATCTCCTGAACCTTGGACACCAGACTCACTGATCCCCATGTCTCTTAAAACATTGACTAATGGTTAAATCATGATCTGAGAATCTGTACAGCCTTGGGCACACCTCCATCAGCTTACCCACCTCACTCTAATCATCCTCCCAAAACCTTATCCTTTCCCCATCCCAAAAGGAAAAACTAGCTAAATTCTTAAACTGCTGATTAAATTTCATAATACCCTTCACACACAAACCCCATAAGATGCACTAACCTCCCTCGATTCCTAACCAAACCTTACCACCACATGTTCCACCACCACCCCCTTCCTCCATGATGAGTGAGTCAACTTCTCCATCCCAAACCTCCACAGCTACTTCCTGAGTAATGCTTTATTAAAAACTCTCACTCTTCTAATCCCCAAACCCCCTCCCTCCTTTGGTCTACATACCTTACCCCATTTGACCAAATGGAATTTCTTGGAACTCCCTCCTCCCACCCCTTCCCATAGAAAATCCTTCTGTAATCTCTCCACCCTCTTGGCAACTTCAGCTGGGACTTCCAGTAGAGACAAATAATATGTTGGCAGACTAGACAAAACACTCCTTATGAGAGCGATTATCCTTTCTTGAGATAAAATGCAATTTAAAACTCTTATCCATTAAAACTTTTTGAGCTTATAGCCTTGAACTTATAGATAACAGAGGCAACAACTGGGCTCTGTTTAATCTGATTTGGAAGAAATATTAATGTCGTATTGGAGTTCTTTTTTTTAATTAAAAAAAAAAATCTATTGTTTAATAGCTGCAACCAATTATTTCATAGAATTTTACAGGGAAGAACACAAACAACCAAATTTCAACTAAACGCCTGAGTTATATCCCTTGTAATTCAAGCATAAAGACTCCCAAATACTAAACTCACATACTTGTATTGTTTTCTCTACATGGTGAGTAGAAAAGCACAGAATACCAATTTACGAAAGTTAGAAAATTCCCGTATAAAACCCACAATTAAATCATCAGAAGTTCTGCATATCATTCAACCTTTAACGGAAGGAAAGCATCCATCACTACACTAAGAACACAAAAACCAAATGAACAGATTTTGGGAAAATATAAAGAGGAAAAGGAAAACGTGAGAAGTTAAAATGGGTAATCCACCTGAAGCCCAGATTGGAAGCAGGAACGCGATATCTCGTTAGGAGAAGCTGCAAGAGCTACAACAACGTTGATAGAAGTCCAAGAAGAATGGACGAACCACCCAAACCAAATGGTGGGTTTTGGTTCGCAAGATGAGAGCTGCTTCGGCCACCAAATCCTGCATTTCGATCTCATCTTCGTCAAGCAACAAGCACTGTTTATTTCTTTTGAACATACGAAGGAGAATCAACTGCCTCAAAGCCAAAAATCCAGTCCAGTCAACAGTCCTGTCCGGCTGTCCCCAGATCTGCTCCTCACACCTGGCGCCTCACACGCACACATCCTATCATGCATTGAAAACATCTCCATACTTAATAATTATTATTTAGGGGAGATGTTTTCAATGCACGGCGAATGTGCATGTGAGACGCCCATTTGTGAGTACAGATCCTGTCTCAGAGATGTTTTCAATGCAAGTGGATATGCATGTGAGGTCCCCATTTGTGAGGAGCAGATCCCATTTCTGAAAGCAACTAGAGACCTCGACCTCACAAACTCGAAAGCTGAATAGAGTAAATTACAGAGACCTCCCTATGCCTTAGGGTGTGTGACACAACCCCCTATATGTTTTTTTTATGGGACACTTAACCTTTTCATTTTTCATAACAAGAAGAGTAAGAGAACGGATATGCTCTCACAAAGGGCACCTCACACCGACCTCACGGATACATCCCATTGTGTATTAGGAACATCTTCATACTTGTGTGTTATTATTAACAGGAGATGTTCCCATGCACAGTGGGATGTGCCTTTGTGATCGTTGTGAGGCGCTTGTGTGAGGAGCAAATCCCAATTCGAAGAGTAAAGGCTAAATGACCGGTCCAACTCCATATTGCAATTGCTTTTCACAAAGTGCACATCACACCAACCTCACAGCATATGTGTAGACCTTACTTGAGAGATCAGATCTGCTCCTCACAAAGTGCATCTGATAGTGCACCACAACCGTGTATTGAGAATATCTCCCATACATGATGTTATCATTCGTGGAAAGATCTTCCCAATGCATGATTGTGATGCACTGTGAGGATGGTGTGAGACACACTCTCTGAGGAACAGATCTAAACTCCTTAATTGATATTATCATTCATGCAAAGATGTTCTCAATGCATTGTGATGCACCCTGAAGTTGGTGTGAGGAGCAAATTCAAATTTACTCGACCCATAAATCAAAAAGACACAACATTACACTAAATATTCAGGGTGTGACCTGAGTTGGAATCTCCTGCCAATAAACAAGTTATAACATCCTCTCAACATGATCTGACACTGTACATCTCATCATAAAACTCAAATAGGTGTTGGTATGTATTTTGTTTATTGGTGATCTGGCGACGAGTTCCGATCAGCTGGCAGGTGATCCCAACTCTCTGGTGACACGTGTGGCTCAAGTTCCCCAATCAACCAGCCAAGAAGCTTTGATAGACTGATCCGAGGTTTCACTCTATTGATTACCGCACTTGGTGTCCTTCAATGATGAAGCAATAACTTATAAACCTAGCCGCAACAAGATATGCCCAAGAGCTGCCCAGGCATGTGCCACATTAATCAACACATACCAACGCTCTTACTAACTGCAAATTAGTATTACTTTGTGGGCATAATCACAAACTACAATACTAATCGCCACATTAATCAACACATACCAACGCTCTTACTAACTGCAAATTAGTATTACTTTGTGGGCATAATCACAAGCTACAATACTAATCATACATCTTCCATCTTCTATCCTTGAAGTATCAAAGTTGATCTTGACCTTTTTTGTATCTTAATGAGGTTGTTTTAAATCATTACATTTCACAATGATTTCAATTTCACCAAGAATGAGGAACACTGCACTCCTGATTATGCATTATTTTCTTAAACCCCCACATGCACACATCCCAACCATGTGTTGGGAACTTGGGATTATCTATCCTTGACAAGTATGGGATGTGTTTCTAATGCATTAAATTCTCATCATGAAATTTGGACCCACTACGTATAAAATGTGCAATGTCAAATTATGTTGGAAGGGTATTAGAAAGTGTTTTGTTGGAAGGAGATATGGACTCAGCTCAAGACTAAAGTGGTTTCTTATGCCTTTTTTTGTTTGGAACTGTTGCTATCAATAGGGCAAAGCTACCAACAATTAAAGGGTTTTCACCATTTTTCATGTGCCACACTATGATAAGTTAATAAATATGGTCAGAAACGTATTGTCAAGGTAAGAAATGTCACTTCGATGTTTTTGAAAAAACCATGTTTCAAATTTTGAGGCATAGTTGCTTCTCATTAGGAATGGCAAAGGTCAACGGGGTGGGTGCGGGATGGGAGCTACTTTCCATACTCATCCCTTCAAAATTTTCATCCTTACTCCCACCAAAGGAGACAGGGTTTTCCAATCCTTGTAGGCGTTTCCCAGGAGTTAAAATCATCCTCCCACAATGTTCACATCATATCTCCGTTGTATATTGGGAAATGATGATATCATTATTTTTGGTATTATCATTAGGAAATGTTTTTAATACATGACGGGGATGTGCTATGGGACATTGTGGAGGGCAATCCTGTGGGGACTGATTTGATCTTGATTGCTAGTTCTTGACATTTTTCCTGACATTAAATTCATTTTTTTAATTTCTATCTCATTCTATTTCTTAACTAAAAGAGCTACAATTTACAATCCAATCAGAAATAGATTTAAATACATTCAAACATGTTCATCCATATTTTAAAAATATTAACACAAATATATACTATTAAGAGAAGATGGAGCCTTGTGGGGCAGGGAGTGCTTTCTCCATCCCTGCTAGGAGGGAGGGGGAATCATCCCCATCCCCACCCCATGAAGGACAGGTCCCCTCGAAGATTAGGGAAATTGTCATCTTTATTAACCATTTTTTGCAAAAAAAATATATATATATATATGGTGTGAACCAAATAAGGCTCTAAGTTGGCATGGTTTTTCTGGGAAATGGCATCAATACCAAACATGCCCATAGTCATTGCAATACCATTTTTTTCCAAACCAATTTATCAAATGCAATTTAGGCTCAGTTTGGAAGGAGTACAAATACAAATATGTACGGTTCAAATACACACAAAATAATATAAAATGCAGGATTTTACACTCTACATATTTGTATTTGTACTCCTTCCAAACTACCTTTTCTAATGTGGCAAATTGGCAAGATGGAATGCTCATAAAATACATTAATGCCAAACATAACCCTAATATAACTTTTGGAGTTCAAATCAACCCCCCACAAACGTCCCACACCACATCTCCATGAACATTTCTTGATGATGACATCATCATTTCTGATATTATCATCGGGAGATGTTTCCAATACACGGTGGAAATGTATTGTGAGACTTTGTGGGGGCTGATGTAATTTCTAACTTTGAATCCACAATGGTTATGATGCTGCTATATATCGACATTGCTAGTGGGTTAATGGGATTAGTGACAAAGTGCACATGGGGCCTATTGCTACGTGCCAGTGTGGTGAGGGTAATCATGGGTCAGGTTAAAGCAATGCAAGATGGAGGGCCTTCTCTTGCATCTATTTATGATTTGAAGTTTGAGCTTGGAATTGCCAAGTGTAAGAGTTTGATATGGAAAATTGTCTCTCTAAGGCATTGTTTTTTTTTCTTTTTTTTTCTTTTTTTTTTTTTTGATAAAACATGAAATCATTCAACACTAGAAATCACAAATCACAATACAAGGCAAAACAAATAAAATCAAGCTGAGTGAAACAAATAACCTAACCATTTGCATAGAATGGAGACAAACACATTTAATACTGGATTCTAAGCTTATAGAATTAAATCAAGGCCAAACAGTCACAATTCAGTCTGATATTTATTTAGGAATATCATGTTCCATAAATGTTCAAATATAAGGCTCAGTTTGGAAAGAATATAAATACAAATAAATATAAAATAATACAAAGTACAAGGTTTAGTACCCTTACATATTTGTATTTATACTCCTTTCAAGCTAAGACTTAATTTATCCCTCACTTATTTATCAATTGTCCTTTTGCCCTGGCTGTTCTTTTTACGAACCCCTGGAATTTACATTTTCAGCAGTTAATTCATGACTCTTGGCCTTAGGGTTTGAAATGTCTGTACAATAGTCTAAATGATAGAACTCTTTTTATTCAGATTTTGTCTTGGTTGGCCATTGCCTGTTATTATATTTGGTTTACTAGAAATGAAAATCTGTTTCAAAGCATTGCTTTCATCCTTCCTCTCTAGCTAAGTCTATTCGGTGTGTTTACCAGCTCTCAACTAATTTCAAAAGTCAACAGTCGAATCCATTAAATTCCTCTGTTAATCCCAAATGGAATCTGTCCCTACCCCACAATACTGACTACATAATATTTGCAGATGCAGGAAAAATTTCAGACTCCTTATATACTTTTGCGGTTATTATCTTATCCAAAAACTTATCCTTTATCAAGCTCATGGGAGGGCGTACTTCTTCTGTTAATTCTGTATTACAAGCTGAATTATTTGTTGTTTTGCAGGCGTTATTTGAATTACAACAATGGACTATTAGAAAAGTTTATATCTGCTCAGACTTGCACCAGTTGATCAGCTCCTACAATGATCTTCAAGAATATCTGTGGAATTGCCACTGGCTTTTCGTACATTCTAAGCTAAGAAGTTTGAACTCTATTACCTTTTTGTTTGTAAATAGAAAGTATAACCTGTCGGCCCATGCGGTATCCCAAGTAGCTAAAATTCATGAATCCTCTTTTCTTGTTCATTATAACTATCTGCCAGGGATACCCAGGGTGGATGACTGTATTTCCTTATCCTTTATCTAATGTTAGTTTTCTTTTACTCTTCAAAAAAAAAAAGAATGATAAATGCCTAAAAAAACAAAGTTGAGCGAGAAAAGGTCTGATCTCCTTTGCTGCACCTAAAATCCCTTCTGGGATGAACAATGGAATAACATAGCCCAAATAAGAACCAAGAGCAGATGCCATCTGTCTTAATTTGAGTAATAACGTGTATGATGAGGAGCACTGGGACCAACATCACAACTTTCACTACTTTGGATTGGTCTCGAGAAGAATTGCATTTGTATAAGTCTCATGAGTTGTTTTCTTCTAGTGCTCAATGCTTTCTTTATTCTATCTTAGCAAGTTGGTTTATTTTCTAGCTAGGGGCATTCTATTTTTGGATTTTGAGATTGGCATTCTTCTAGTGCACAATGTTTTCTCAATGTCTTCCAGAAGACGTGCAATGTTACAGTG